GTGCAGCTGCAAAGAAGAAAAACCAGACATGGGTTTTCCCAAGTGGCTAGTGCTTTCAGGAGGTAAACCTCCGGTACCAAGGAGGGGGCTGATTTTCAGGGGGTGGGTGCCTAGCCCTTCTTGGTAATGAGGCCTTTGGAGGTGACTCCAATCATGCACCCAGAAATGACCCATCCCTTTGGAAAATCTCAGCTTTATTATTTTCTCTGGAACTGGACACTGGGACGGATGGATACTGAGGGCCCCAGGGGGTTGTGTAGAGTTGGCTGAAAAATGCCAAGTATTTATCATAGGAAATTTTTAATTGTGTGGGGTTTATCCCCCCCACCTCAGATTTCATAAGAAAGTGAAATTTTTAATTGTGTGGGGTTTATCCCCCCTCCCTCAGATTTCATAATAAAGTATTTGGGGGGAAAATTAAAAAAAAAAAAAAAAGCGGGGTGGGGGGTCAGAACCTGTCTGGGTAAAGATCTTTGGCTGAAACCTTTTTTTTTTTTTTTTTAACGAAACCTGGAAAATGTCAACCAAAGCAAAACTTTTCCGCAAGAAAGTTTGTTTTGGTTGAAAACCCTGTTTCGACAAGACTGTCTCCAGCAGGCCTGGCTTTCTGACTGGCGCTTGCAGATGCGCGCACTGGAATCGTCATTAGCAATAATAATTGATTGCAGAAGGAGAAACTGTGACAGTCCCTACCAAAGCACCGTATGCTGTCTGCAGCACAAACAAGCCCCAGCAGTGAGTAAGCCCAGGGAGAGCTTGGACTCCTGAGTGCTGGTGCTGGAGCACCCTTCCCGCTACCTCCCCCAGCATGCAGGTGAGGTTACCCCCGGGGAAGCTAGCCCGTCTTCTCACTCACCCCCATTTCCCCTGTTACCCCATGACACAGAGCGGCAGCCAACCTCAGCAGCAAGGAGAGATGCTGCTCCTCTGACTGCTGTAGGAAGACTCAACATCCTTGCCCTCTCTAGGAAGCACCAGGTCCATGGTCACTGCCCGAGCCTTGTTAACACAGCTGCAATTAGTGCTGGTTGTAGGAGGTCTGAACCAGGTGGGCTTCTGTGTACTGGGCATTAGGCTGAGGCCCATGGATATCACGTCAGAGGGGAGGCACCTGTGGGTAGCTGGCTCCCTCCGGCTGCGGGGTCCCTTGCCAGTCCGTCGGGCTATCGTTCCTCAGGAAAAGGGGGCTCGCGGGAGAGCTCTGTATTCCCGGGGGGGCGGTGGGATAGCAATCGATTGTTCCCTGTGTCCGCAGGAGACAGGACAAGACGTAATGGACTTAAATCGCAGCAAGGGAGATTTAGATTAGATACCAGGAGGAGCTTTCTAGCCAGGAGGGGGGCCAACCCCGCAATACGTTACCTGGGGAGGCTGCAGAGGCTCCAGCCCTGGAAAATTTTAGGTGCAGAGAAAAACATGTATCTGGGAGGGTTAGACCAGCCCATTGCTGGAGCCGGGGGTTGGATTAGATGACTCCTGAGAGCCCTGCCCACCCTGTTTTCTGAGTCTATGAATTTCAGCACCCTGGGGCTGAGCACAGAGGCCGCAGCATCCTGGAAAGAGATGGGCTTCAAGCCTCCGAATTTAGGGAGGCTGGACTATGCTCTGCTTGATATTAGGGCCTTAAGCATGAATTGCAGTAGGGGACTCCAGCATCGGTGTGAGGATACAGGGGAGGGTGTTCCTCGCAGCTCCATCCCCCAGCCGCGTGGCCTGGTGGGCTGGGCATTGAATGAGGGGCCAGGAGGCCTGGGTCTTGCTCCAGGCTCTGCCATGGGGATGCTGGAGGGACCTTAGGCAAATCACAGCACCTCTCTTTCCCATGCATGGAGCCCTCTGACACCCAGCGGTGACCGGCTTAGGAGCCGCAGGGGCCACGAAGGTTAACCAAAGAGCCTCTGCAACATGCAGTGCCCCCAGGTGAACCGCCGCCGACACACTCCCATTCAAAGAGAAAAGCGACGGGACGCTAGTTAGCGCAGATAGGGAGCGAGTGCAGGCGCTGCATTATTCATGACTGCAGAAAAGACATGCCTGACGCACGCTGTAAAAATAACAGCTTTGATGCCTGTATTTTTGCAAAGAGCCGCAGGTGACGTGTTGAAGAGCCACTCGCGGCTTGGGGGCCGTGGTCTGGGCCTCTCTGGCTCAGTCTGTACATCCTCCAGGCCAGCGGCACGCTCTGACCAGGCTCCTGTAGGGCTTCTGCCTCCCTGAACTCATTCGAGGCCTCCCTGCTCCACCAAAGGCCACCTGCTTGACCCTAGGTAAGGCTCAGGATCTTAAGGCACTTGAGAAAATGCTGCCTCTTGGCTTCTGACATCTGCATCCAGCACTCGCAGGCAATCTGCCTGTGGATGGAGAACCCAAGTGTTAGCCTGGATTTAATAGCATCCCTCATTGCACAGGCCCATGGGCTCTGTTCAGAGCGGCACCTGCATACCCCAAGTGCAGGGGCATCCAGTCCTTCACCTTGCACGAGCATCGTGGCACCGCCGTAGCGGTACAGCGGGCACATTACATACAAAGGAGGCCTGTTGACATTTCATAACAGACAAAAGCCTCATGATCTTCCATTAGACAGTTAAAGGCATAAGGGAGAAATCCAGGTGGTTATTCCTGGAAGGAACGAAGCGCAATAATGATGTTGGAGGCTCGGCACAAGTCTCTCCCCGCTGACCTGCCAGCAAAATAATCCCGTGGAATCCGATGTTCTCAATTATTCATGCTGTCCAGGTTTGCATTGTTTCTGTCAGGGCCTGTTTTATAACCGCCGCTGCTATTGCTGATGGCAGACAACAACTTTGCATTATTTATGAACAGATTTTTACAATGGCTGATATTACAGCTGTTGCCAAAGTGCAGCAAGAATGATCGTGTTTGGGGGGGTTTCCCCCCCCCTTGCAAGACAACGCCTTTATTTTTTTGCATAACGGCATTCACGTCCCGGGTGACAGCGGAGCGCTCCGCACAGGAAGATTGCCATCCTGGCTTGACGGCAAGAGCAGGGTCGGGTTTGGAGACCGGTTGTGCGGAGGGGAGGAGAAGCTTGCGGAGGGTGGGCTGATGGTCTGGGCGCGCCTGCCTGTCTGTGCGCATGAGTCGCCGTGATGCCAGTCTGCCAGGTCTGTGCAGAAGCACAAAGGATGAAGCGTCCTTTCTTGGGGGTGATGGGAGGGTGGCGAGGTTTGCTGCCCTGCAGAGGGATGATGCTCACGTCCCTGCGTGTCTCAGCCCAGCCCCCCTGCTTGCAGGCAGCATCGTGGCTTTGGTGGGGTGTTTTGCCTCCGCTCGTGGCCCATCTTTGCTGTTCAAAGGCTGCATCAGACTCTGCGTAGCACCGGCAGGCAGCCAAGACCTGTCCGTGTCGCCTGCCGAGCTCTTGGGGAAAGCGCCTTGCCCTGTGGCTGCTGGCTGAAAGGAAAGGCTCCAAAGCAGGCCCTGATTCAGGGTGCTCTGGGATAGAGACTGCTTTGTGCTCCCGGGTCCCAAAGGACCTTGGCTTGTCCTCGGGCCACCATGCAATGCCGTGGCCTCTACCCTGCGCTCTGTGCTGCGTCGTCCCACTGCCCTGCTACAAATGACACCACGTCCCCCCGGGGCAGCTAAACCAGAGCAGCCGTGCGTCCTGGATACAAAGCCTGGGCACGTACGGGCATCAGCGGCCACAGGTGAAGCTCAGGGCTGAGCTGAAAAGCAAAGCCCCTCCACCAGCCCCGGTGCGCGGTGGGGAAGGTGGGTTCAGAGCCGCTGGGGGAGTTCTCGGGAGCAGTGCCATGTGTGGGGCACCCACGGCCCCTTCTGCATGGCACGGGCACGGTATTGAAACAGGCTCCCAGAGCTCTGGAGTGACACCTGGCTTCTGCGGATGGACACAGGCTCAGTCAGGCCCACAACTGGGCTGAGCACTGAGCAAGGAATATGGGGTTGACCCAGGTTAGGACCAGGCCAGGCCCCTGGATCTCATGGGGAGGCTCATGGTTTGTCCAGATGCTGCCTGGGGCGTGGGGGCGATTGCAAACCCAGACAAACAAGAGCCACCACCCTCACAGATGCAGCTCTGCCAGCCTGGGACCGGGAGTGCGGCAGGAGCGGGTCCACACTCCTTCCTCCTCCGGCTCCATGTCACCAAGTCCATCCACATGGTTGCCTCTGTGCTTTTCGCAGTGCTGGCAGCCCTGCCAGGACAAGAAGAGCAGTACTCAAGGGGCAAGAGCAAGGGAGAGATGCCCAGGCTGGGGCTCGGAGCAGGGGCTGGGCACCAGGGCTCATCCGTCCCCAGTAAATCCCATTCTTAGCAAGGCGATTTGAGCCCCGGCAGTGCGTGCACGTTCAGTGCTCTGCCTCTGTCCTTGGTCTGCACCTGGGTCCACGTGAGCCCCCAGCCCACGCAGACCTGACTCCAGGCGAGCTGGGTGGTATTCACCCCCCCACCCCCCCAGGTGCAAATCCTGGACGCCACGTGGAGCCAGGTCTCCGAGTGCACATTCAGTCCCAGCTCCAGCCAGGCCGGACTGCAGTTTGCTCCCGGCAGCCTGGTCACGGTGGAGCCTCGGACAGTCTGTCCCTTCCTGTCGCTCTACCCCTCACCAGGTATCGAGCCTGTTGCAGGGCCAGGCTGACCAGCCCCTCCGTTCACCTCTCCAGCTTCATCTCTCTCCATCCCTTACTCACTCCGTGGCGAGAGATGCAGGCAGACGGGCCACGCGGGGCCCCTGGCGATCCGCTGTTCCCCCTCTGATCTGGGCAGGGTGTAGCATCCTTTGAGTCTCCTTGCAAGCCGAGTTGTTGAACGACAAGCGAGAGATCTCGCTGATGGAGAGGACTCGGGAGCCCTTCCCCAGCCCGTTATTTTTAAGCTACCCACCCAGCGAGGGGAGAGCTCTTCTAACGAGCGCCACGTTGCCATGGAACCCAGTGGAAGATTGAATCCAATTATCTCGCTGTTGGGAAACAAAGCGAAGCCTAAACAGCAGCGCGCTGTGCTTTCTCCTCCCCAGCTCTTCTCCATCGTGGTGTTCGGCTCCATCGTGAACGAGGGCTACGTCAACAGGGACAACACCACCCCCGAGCTGCACTGCATCTACAACGAGAACGAGGGGGCCTGCAGCTACGGCATCTCCATCGGCATCATCGCCTTCTTCACCTGCGTCTTCTTCCTCATCGTGGATCTCCACTTCCAACAGATCAGCAGCGTGAAGGACCGGAAACGGGCCGTCCTGCTGGACCTCGGCGTGTCAGGTATGGCGCTGGGCTCTCTGGGAAGCTGGAAGACCTAGGCGCACCGGCGCGTGGGCCCCGCTTCACTCTGTCTGCATGCTCTGTATTGGAGTGGCTGGGGTTCAAATTCCCTCCCCTGAGAAATAGCCCCTGTCCCTCTGAAACAGGGCAGGTGGCAGCAGTAATGCACCCCAGGGAGGCAGGGCTGGTGGCAGGTGGGAGGTCCTACCCGGGGAACATCAATAATGCCAGCTGCATGTATCCCACTGCTGCCCCCACACCCCTTGGCTGGGGCAGCATTGGTGAGGCCTCCAGAGCAGCAGCGCCCGCAGGTCACTCCCTACAGAGGCATGTGGGGCTCTCTTCAGATTCAGGCGTTCACTTTAGCACCCGTTCCCCCTGCGGTGTTTCCCCCTCTCGGTACCATTGTTCCAGGCTCTCGGCAGACTCTGCTCTGCGCTGCTTCGGGTCCATCTGGGCCACGTTTCCAAGCATTTCCTTTTGCAAGCCCACAGGTTTAGAGAGGTATTGGGTTTTAAATGCAAGCAGAGATGCCAGTGTAAACCACGGCCCCAGGAGCCGGGCCACATTTGTTCCTGCACCCGGGTCATGGGTGGGTGAACTCGCAAGGCTGGACCTTGCCTTACTGAAGTCCCGCTTGACCTCAGGCGATCAGGCATGTGGGTCCGTGGAGCCAGCAGGATGTCTCTGAGCTGAGCCGCTCTGAGAGAGGCCCGTAGCCTGCTGTCTGTCCTGCTCCTGGGTTCCTGGCCTTCCTGCTTTCAGAAGTCTGGTGGTCATTTTCTCTGGGGAAGGTGGTGGTGGGGGCAGGAGGAACGTATGTGCCAGTGTGTCATCCCATCCCTGGACAAACCTGCTGCTAAGGCTGGGAAGTGCCCTGAAGGCATCTCGCGGGAGATGCAGGAGGGAATATTCCAGGCCAGGCATCACCGAAGTGTCCCGTACAGCCTCTGTTTCTGCTGCCTCCCAAATCCGCAGATGCATGCTATTTACAAGGCCCCCTAAGGGATTTAGATGCCCCAAATCCACTCATTTCAATGGGAGCAGAGCATCTGAATAAATCCTGTCAGCTGCTCTGAAAATCCCAGCCTAAGGATGTGATCCCCTTGCTGCTGCCTTGTGCTTGGCCTGGCCACGTTCTTCTGTGCTAGGTCTGTGCAAAATGCCGTCGTGCCAGACCTCCTCCTCTCACCCCCTGCCCCGCTAGGCACAGCTCGGGGGGCTGCAGGGGCATTATGGGGCACAGCCAGGTTCCTGCCATTACAGGGTCCAGTTCTGAGTCCCTTGGACACGCAAAACTGTCACTGCTGTTCACAGAGTGGCACCGGAAATCTTCGTTCTGCAACTGGCTGTTGTGCACCATCCACGGGGATCCTGGGAGACAGGGGGTTGCTGACAGTAGCAGCCAGCTCTGGGATGCGACTGCATTGACGTCACTGGATGTTAATTAGACCAGGAGGATGCTTGGTTCTGTGTGTGTGTGTGTGTGTGTGTGTGTGTGTGTGTGTGTGTGTGTACTCGTGCACACATGCATTTTGTGCATTGATTGTCAGGACTTTTCCTGGTGAGCGGTCCTTTCCTCCCTGAGCTCCCGCCCTCAAACCCTAATAAACCATTCCTTCTTCCTAAACACTGCACTGAAATGCAGGTCAGTAGGCGCCAGGTGCGTGAGTGACACGGTGTCCAGCATCAGTGCCGGGGTTGACGCTGTCCAGGTGCACCAGCCTGCCCTCCCCAGCTGGCACCTGCTCTTAGCGTGTACGAGCTAACAGTGGTAATCGCCATCTGGACACGGGGGATGCGCCCTCCCTGCTCTGGGGCTGTCGACGCGCAGCGGGATCTCAGACGTGGGTCTGGGCCTGGGGTTGCTCCTTGGACAGCAGCACACAGGCTGCTCTGGGTCTAGGACAGGAAGGGGTCTCTGGGTTTGGCACATCCAGGCCTGCTCTTCTCAGGCAATCGCATCCCAGGATCTCTCTCCTCGGCCTGCCCAGCTCCATCCTAAAACTCCTGAGGTTTCCTCCTCTTCTGGGGAGGCCATTCCAGACTGGTGTGAGGGTGAGAAAACCCTCTTCTCTCTCCCGACTGAAATTCATTTGTAGCCAGAGTTCCCTTTTGTTCTGGTGCCAGCATCATCCCTGGGCTTCCCCACTCTTTCTCTGCCTGGCATTTGCCCCTAAGGTGTCGGTAGAGGGGAAACGCACCCCAGCTCAGCCTCCGTTTTGCCAGGCTGGTCCAGCCTCCTCTTGTGGGATAAGCTGTGCCCTTCCTAATCGCCTTCTCCCTGCCCCTGCTCGGGACTGATTGCACCTTTCCTTGGCACGGCTGAAGCGTGCGATCTGCAGAGGTCTCTCCAGAGCCGCCTGTGATGGCGCTGGTGCTTCTCTGTGCTCCGGGACGGCCTGTGCTCGTACATCCCACTGTACGTTTGCCTCGTCCGCAGTGACATCATGCTGATGGCTCATAGGCATCCTGCGACCAGCTCGTGCATCTGGATCTTGCTCCTCTTCCCAACTGATGCATTCACCGTTTATAGCACAAATCTGTCCCCTTGCATCTCATCCCCTTTCTGTTGCCCGCTGTCTCTGAGGCCGTCCGGTTCCCCCTGCAGAGCATCTCCATTCTCCTCTGCATTGACACAGCCTCCCAACTGCATCCTCAGCGAGCACCACTCCACCGAGCTGTGACCCTGTCGTGCCAAAGACTGGAGTGGAGACATCGAATGAGATGTGTCTGCAGTCGAGCCCTTAAGGAATTGCACTAACCGCCTCCTGCCAGCCCAGCATCCCCTTTGGACTTTGTCTGTTGTCATCTCCCAGTTAGCCAGGCCCTGACCCAGTTATACCCTTGATCAGTCCCCATTTTCTCCAGCTTAACAGCAGTGTCTCGAGGCGCTGTATCGGATGCTGCAGAGAAGTCCAGAGAGGCAGCTGAAAGCTACTGTCAGTGAGAGCCGAATCTAGGCCTGCTTGCAGGAAACCGAAGTCACTCTAGGTTTAGCTCCTGGTTCTGTGGTCCCTTGTCCAGCAAAACTTCAGCTGCACTTCCCCGAGCGAGGCCGCTGCATCAGACCTGTCAGGCAGCATCGTGCGATGTGGTGTGATCCCCTGTCTCCTCTGGGGCTTTGTCCTTTAAACGGCCTAAGCCTGATGTTCCCCAAATGTCACTCGGGAGCATGTACCCACCTCTATTTCCACACGTGGACGCAGCCTTTTGGGCATGACCTTTCCACGCATGAATGGCAGGCAGCAGACTCTACATACAGCCCTCTTGCATGTGTGCGAGGAACAGGTGTGGCTGCCTAGGTGACAGCAATTCATGCCGTGTTCGTCCCAGGAGCTGCGGTTGGGAATTAGGCCCCCGGTCCTTTTTTCTCACGTTCCTTTCTTCACCTGGCTCCGCTTTTCAACAACAGCCATTGCCCAGAGGTGTCATGGGTCCTGGCATATCCCTCTTCCTTTCCATTCCCTACATCCCCACCTGGACAAAGGGCAGGCCCTGGCTTGCTTTCATTCCCAGAGCTGTACAATCAGCTCCCTTGCAGCAAAGAGTAAGTGCTGCGTTTGACTGGAGCTTGCAGCCTCCATCGTCTCTGTGATCAAAGCCTGTCATATCCACTTGCACTCTGATGAGCCCTGGGCATCAAACCTGTCTGTGGCGGCCGCAGGGCTGAGCCGAGCTGACCCGCACCGCTCCCAGGACAAACTCTCCAATTAAATTACCTGCTTTAAATATCTCCACATTATCCCACTGGAGACTTTCCATGCAGCGCCCTCTTCCACCTGCTCTTCGATTTCTTTCTTGTCTTCTTATCCTTGTTTCCCTTCAGTTGGAGGCTGCTGCTTTGCCCATTCTCTGCGGGTAGTCTTTCTGCATTGTTATTCTTTTTGATACTTAAAAAAAACCACCCCAAAACACATAAAGCAATCTGGAAAAAGACTGAAATACTAAATGCAGATAAAAGAAGATGGATGGGTAGGTGGGTGGATGGATGGAGAGACAGGAGGAGTTGAGACATCTTGTCATGTCACAAAGACAATTCGATTTTAATGAAGGTTTGGAGAGCGTCTCGGGACCCAGGTGATCGGTGTGGGGAGAGACCTGAAAATGGAGGTTTCGGCATCCTTCTGTGGGACAGAGCACATTTTGCAAGCGGTTGGGAAGGAGATTTCTGGCCAGCGCTACTAATGTGCTGATGTAGCCCAGCTATGTTGTCAGCCGATGTACATCCACGTAGCTCCATCAAGGATGGGATTTGTTTGTGTGTCCTTCCATGCACGCACCCACCCTCCATCCATCCATCCACGAAGACATGCACACACCACAGTTGTCAGCGCCACCCGGTCGTTACTGCAGATCATCATCTTTGAAGGTCGTGACGAAGGGGCAACAGACAAAAAAGAGTTAAGTCACAAGGTTTCTCTCCCCTGGAAGAAGTCTGCACGCTCCGGCGGTCCGTGGGAAGGCTGTCCCAGCCCTGCCCTTATGAACGGTGGAGCTGTGAAGGGTGGATGCAGTCGAGCTCTCCAGGCTTGCCCTGGCCCCAGCCGGGCAGCAGTGTTGCCATTGCAAAGGGAAAAGGGCTTTGGAGCCCGAGTCCCTCCAAGAGGGGGGTGGACAGTTGTGCCGCGGCGCACACGGAGCAGACGCGGGCACCGCGCTCCTCCGCCGGCACTTGCAGCTCTCTTCCATCTGCTCTCACAGCTGCTCCCTTAGAAGTGCACTGGTTTCGAACCAGCCTGTAATTACGGCTGTAACATCTCCTTCCCGGTGTTTGCACTCTGTTGTCTGCAGATCCCAAAACTATAATTATCCGCTGGCTTTTACCGTTTGTCTCAATAGTCTCCTCTTTTTTTTTTGCCGTTGCGCCATGGCCCGCGGCTGTGTTACGGGGGGTCCTCGGGCCCGCGTGCATCTTGGCTCAGAACCAGGCTCCTGGCGGGAAGGGGATGCCTGGCCCACCTCAGACGCCCCTTCCTTCTGCCCCCGCACGCCAAGGCTTAGCTTCCTCCTCAGCAGCTGCCGGCTCCCCGCCGCCCTCCCTGCAGCCGAGGTTTTGGGAGGAAAGTCCAAAGCCCATTCAGAGGCGATGCCGTGGTTCAGTCGCATGGCTGCCAGATACAAAGTCATGTCTGACCTGCATTTGCCTCTTGGGGAGACTTTGTGGTTCCCCTTCTCAGGTGTTTGAAGCCCCCGCAGGTATCCGGGGTGCTCAGGAAGGAAAGGAGCCAGGCAGAATGGGGAAAACCAGGTCCACGGATGGGCAGCTCCTTTCCCCGCTGCTCTCTCAGGAACAGCTCATGGGCCCTTTTGGCCCAGCTGGGTCCCCCACACAGTGAAGGTCGGCATGTCTGAGGAGCCTCCTTGTACCCAGGCTGGTGCTTCCCTGGGGGCTCTGTGCTGGAGAAGGGGGAGGAGAAGGCAAGGCCCAGCAGGAGGGCGTCCGTGCAGCCGTCCTTCTCCGAGGCAGGATTAGGGACCAGCTCCCAAGGGGGAAATGAATGAATCGGTGGGAGCGGCGCTTCCCCCCGAGCACCCTCAGGAAGGGCAGGACGGGAGGAATGAGGAACAGAGCAAGCCAAGTGCTGAGTCCCATGGGCAGGTGGCACAATTGCGCATGCATGCATGCACTCACCCACATGCGTGTACACAAGCACTCACACACATGCAGACACGTGCATGCACACTTGCATGTGGGCCCATTTCAAGGGCATTGCCCCTCCGGAGGGGAGGATGCCCAGCTCTCCAGGTGATCAGACGTGAATGAAAAGAGAGGATGCTCAGAACACAATCAGCAGCTCTCCCTCTCCCCCAGGCTCTTTCCAGCAGCCCGCACAGAGCGCGTGGGAGGCCTGCCGCTGCCCTCGACAAGCTGCGGCCACATACCCCTCCTCCGCGGCTGGGGAGACGTAGCAGAGGCACCGCGATGTAGAAACCTGCGGTAGGACCAGGCTTTGTCACCAGCCGCTGCCTCAAGTCGACACGGCCCAATGGCCAGAGTATTGTTCCCTGCCGAATTGTTCGCATCCCTCCCCGTGCCCATTGCAGGCTGCCACGACTCGCTGCCGTGCCACTGCCTCCCTCCTGCAGCTGGCCGTGGCCCAGCAAAGAGGAGGAAGGACAGACAGGCGGCCAAGGGGCCTCTTGGGCCACCCGGTATTTCTTCCCAGCCCCTTGCCTCCATTTTATAAGGCTAGAAGTTTCCTCACTATGTGCTCAGCGGTCAGGGAGAGTTTTACGTGATAGAGCAGCCTTCTCAACAATGCAGGCATCTGTGGCCATCTCAGGCCCCTTCTTTCAGACGTGAAGCCCCCCTACACACACACACACACGGCAAATTCATCCAACACCCGAAATGCCTGCACCAGCTTTTACGAGCAGTGCTTACTTGATCCAGTCCGGTCCATCTCCACCCTGACATGCAGCGGCCTGGAGGCTTCTCCTCGAAAAGAGACAGGATAGAAATTGGTGCCACACCGATGGAGAGAGTGGGCGCTCATAGGGGAGTGCGAGTCCCGGGACCGGCTGAAGTGGGACCGGAGGAAATACCTGCTTGCAGAGGCAGCGAGAGCGAGTGCGGCGTGCCCAGCTGGGCAGGGGAGCTGCCCTGGGTGTCTCTGAGCCGTCTGCAGGACCCTGCCCAGCCTGGAGCTCGGGCCAGAGGGAAGGCGCTGAACCCCGTGCAGGTGCCGGGTGGTGTGCCAGAGTCCAAGCACCTGCCAGGACATGAATGAAGGCATCAGCCACCTCCTTTGGATCGAAACAGAGCAACCTGTCCCCTCTCCTGCTTTGGGTCCCAGGCAAGTCAAGAGCAGCTCTGAAATACCTCGACGAGCCCCTCAAGGGGACCTGACTTGACAGTCCTGTGTTGCCATCCCGTGGCGGGGGCTCGTGCTGCACTTGGGATGGGACAGTCCCATGCACTGGTGCAGGCTGGAGACCAACTGGCTGAGCAGGAGCTCTGCAGACAAGGACCTGGGGGTGACGGGGGACGAGAAGCTGGGTAGGAGCCAGCAGTGTGCCCTTGGTGCCAAGAAGGCGAACGGCATCCTGGGCTGCATTGGCAGGAGCGTTGCCGGCAGATCGAGGGAAGTGATTCTTTCCCTCTATCCAGCACTGGGGAGGCCACTTCTGGAGTCCGGTGTCCAGTTTTGGGCCCCCACTGCAGGATGTGGATACACTGGAGAGAGTCCAGCGGAGGACAACGAAAATGGCTGGGGGGCTGGGGGACAGGACTGGTGAGGAGAGACTGAGGGAGCTGGGCTTACTGAGTCTGCAGAAAAGAAGACCAAGGAGGGATTTGATGGCAGCCTCCAACTCCCTGCCGGGGGGCTGCAAAGAGGATGGAGCTGGGCTGGTCTCAGTGGGGGCAGACGGCAGGACAAGGAGCAATGGGCTCAGGCTGCAGCAAAGTTGGATACTAGGACAAACTTTCTCATGAGGAGGGTGGTAAAGGCTACTCAGAGAGGTGGTGGAGTCTCCATCCTTGGAAGTTTTTAGACATATTCTTGGCTGGGATGATGCAGTTGGGGCTGGTCCTGCTTGGAGCAGGGGGGTGGACTAGATGTGACCTCCTGAGCTCCCTTCAACCTGAATTTTCTCTGATTCCTCCATTTTGCGTGGAGACAGCTGGCAGCTTCCTTCTTCCCACCTGAATCATCATCGATGGATTGAACAAATGCTCCCGGGGTCTTGTTTCCAAGGCTAGTAGCACTACCCCTGGCTTCGAGGGGGCAGGGGGGAACGTCACTTTTGTCTCTGCCCAGAGATGCTTTTCTGGTCCGGGCCGTGTACTGAGAGGTGGTTGAAACTTGGGTCAGACCCAGACGCATGGCTCCAGCAAAGGCAGCTGAAGCTTCCTTGGGTCCCTGTGAGACCTTGCCATGATCCTCTATGAGATGCTTCCTGGTGGCTACTATCTCCTCTCACACCGGGCAGCAAAAAATATTTGTGGGGTGTGTGTGTGTGTGTGCGCGCACATATGCACGTGTGTTTCTGTGTGCGTCTGTGCACGTGTGTGTGTCTGCCGGCTCCTGTGCCCCACAAGACATCCCATTGTTCAATGTACCACCGAGGGGTGTGACAGGCCCCGACAGCATGTGGCTGAGGTTGACGGTCCACGAGAGCGTTGCTGGCCTGGGAAATCTCAGCATCGGCCCCTGCGGCTGGCGGGTGACTGGACGGGAGGAGCGGCATCTCACCCAGCCCTGAGCTCTAGGGGGAAATAACCGCTGGGTTCCTCTTCCCGCTGTCCCTTCTGCACCCAAACAAGCGACAAGCCGGGAGGAGGGCGCACGAGTTGTCACAGCCCGAGGCAGGGCTCTAGGATGCTGTCCAGCAATTTGCTTCCCATCATTAAAGCCCCCAGGGTCAGGAGCTGTGAGAGCTGAGTTCATGACAGCCCCTGATGTTCCCACTCAGCTGTCACAGGCCCTCACAGGTTTTCCACGGGGAGGTAGAGCACGTTCACCAGCATAGCAGCCCCGTGGAAAGCCACGGGACTTCCCGCCTGGGTGCGGGTTGGTGGGGTCGAGCCCTGGGTGCGGGCTGGTGGGGCCGAGCCCTGGGTGCAGGTTGATGGGGTCGAGCCCTGAGTGTGGGTTGTGAGGTTCAGCCCTGGGTGTGGGTGGGTGGGGTCAAGCCCTGGGTGTGGGTTGGTGGGGTCAAGCCCTGGGTGTGGGTTGGGGGTCGAGCCCTGGGTGCAGGTTGGTGGGGTCAATCCCTGGGTGCGGGTTGGTGAGGTCAAGCCCTGGGTGCGGGTTGGGGGTCGATCCCTGGGTGTGGGTTGTGGGGTCAAGCCCTGGGGGTGGGTTGGGGGTCAAGCCCTGGGTGCGGGTTGGTGGGATCGAGCCCTGGGTGCGGGTTGGTGGGGTCAAGCCCTGGGTGCAGGTTGGTGGGGTCAAGCCCTGGGTGCAGGTTGGTGGGGTCAAGCCCTGGGTGCGGGTTGTGGGGTCAAGCCCTGGGTGCAGGTTGGTGGGGTCGAGCCCTGGGTGTGGGTTGGGGGGTTGAGCCCTGGGTGCGGGTTGGTGGGGTCAAGCCCTGGGTGTGGGTGAAAGGCGCTGGCCGGGACCTGGGCTGGCGTGTTTGCATGCTGCAGGTTTGGGGGTCCAACAGGACCTGCTTTCAGAAGCAGGTGCTCGGCCCGTCCGAGTCACGCCTCCTTGTGCCAGCTTAGGTTGGGCCCCCAGAAACCAAGGCCCCGGAATCACTGCTTCCCTCTGGGCACCCAAGCCATGCTAGCTGTGTGTGTAAGAGCCCCGGGAAGCTCCTTCTTCCAGCAGCTGCAGCACCCAGCATCTTCCTCCCGTTCCAGGGATCCTGTCGTTCCTGTGGTTCGTCGCCTTCTGCTTCCTAGCAAACCAGTGGCAGCGGACGCTGTCGAGCAAGGGGGTGTGGCAAGGAGCCGACGCCGCGCGGGCAGCCATCGCCTTCTCCTTCTTCTCCATCCTCACCTGGGTGAGTTCAGAACGGCTCGGGCGCGAGGGAGAAGCTCCCGGCCTGTCCAGGAGGGAGACGGGCGGCCGCGTGGTGCCCTCTCGCTTGGACTCACCCCTGGCACATGGTGCCAGGTTGCGGCTGCTCCTCACCCAGACTGGAGCCCCTGTGCCCCTACCAGCACTGCTGCAGGGCCCATCCGTGCAGGGGGTGTCAGTCAGGGGCTGACTCTGCAAGGACTCACTGGACCAGGCCCCTTGGAGGATGGCAGAGCACTCACTGCGCCCCTCTTCCACCAGCCTGGCCCCAGGCCTTAGTTGCGAGCCTTGTACAGCACCTTGCACACTCCCTCCTTAGCCTGAGCCAGGCAGACCGGGGGCCAGCAGGTGAGCTAGAGCAACGGTGACGAGGGAAACAAAACGGGAAACAGAACCGGGACTGAGCACAGCGCAGGCCTGGAAAGAGGAACCGAGAGCCGGCCGCAGCAGGGTTTTGTGGGGAGATTGCAGCAGTCCAGACATATTGAAACCCAGCCCTGGGGAAGGATCGTGGGTGACTCCCGACACAGTGCCCTTGCCCTGGGGAACTCCACTCTCCTCCTCCCTCACGTCCCTGGCACCCTCGCCAAGTTTGGGGGAAGGTCGGAAGTGTCCTCACTTCGGCCTTGGCAGCCGGCGCTCGTGGGATGACTGGAGATAAAGGAAACGACCCTCCAGACGCTCCCCAGCGCTGCATCACCGTGCAGAAGCAGCCTCCTGGGGCGTTCCCAGCACGCTTCGTGCTCCCTTGCACCCTGGTAGTCACTGGGACCTTTCCTTAGCCGCAGTGGGAATGGGGCATTTCCCGTGTGGGCTGCTCTGGGCGCTGGACGAGCCCCACGGGCAGCTAACCCACTGCGCTGCACTAGGAGAACTGGAGCGTCTCGGCAAACACCGCCTGAGCCTGGTCGGCAAGGCCTGGCCCCGGGACGTTCCCCGGCGTGGCTGCTTCCTGCCTCCACCCCGGGGACACAGAGCGATGCCGGCAAAGCGTATAGCAGATGCCGGGCCTGAGAGAGGCTCAACCTTGAGAGGCAGGGACCCGGTCGAGGAGCGTGAGGGCATCGCTGCGGGCTGGGTTTAATCCATCTCGGGTAACTGTGGTGCTGGGCGCTGTGGTTATGAACCCGCTCTTTGTGCTGGGCACATCTGACGCACAGGGAATAACCCGATCCCATCGGGCGCCTCGGGGCCAGCCGGCACAGCCCGTGCGCTCCACCAGCAGGCCTGTCATCCCCCCACCACTAATTGACTTGTTAATGAAACGGCCTGAAATAAAAGCAAGTGTGTCGCACTCGCGGCTCCCCCCATTTGTGACCTGAATACTCGTAACCCTCAGGAAGGGCAAAGGCGTCTCTGCAGAGCCAACCTAATTAGTGGTGCAGGGGACGGGGAAGATTTGCCTCTGCAGAACGGGCTGGGAACCGGCGGGGCCATCACCCTGCCCAGTCCAGCCGCTGAGACCCGCTGGGAGCCGATACGGCGGCTCAGGGGTTTGCAGCGTTAGGACAGAAGAACACGGGACCCGCCATTTCCTGGGTCCGACCACAGGTCCATCTTGCCCGGCCTCCTGTGTCACACGGGCAGAGAGCCGAGGCTGGACGGGAGAGGCAGCTGGGTCTGACCAGGGTTTTTCCCACTGTTCCTCTCCCACTTGCAGCCTCCAGCATTTAGGGTCCAGGCCATTCTGATTCAAGGCCGTGCCCCTCGCTCCCGTGCTCGATAGCTACCTACCGCTGCCCCTTTCCTCCGAGACTTCATCCGATGCACCCAGGATCCGCTGCAGCCTCTCCTAACTCCTTCCTCCTGGTTACAGGTCGGCCTCACGGTGAAGGCCCTGCAGAGATACCGCCTGGGAACTGACATGTCTCTCTTTGCCACGGATCAGTTTGCGGCTGACCCCGACACAGGCTACCCGGGCTACCCCACTGGCAGCGGGATCGAGAGCACGGAAACCTACCAGAGCCCCCCGTTTACCGAGACCCTCGACGCCAACCCGAAGGGCTACCAAGTGCCAGCATACTGAAGGACAGCGGGCTCGGCCAGGTCATGTAAAAATAGACCACATCTTATGGTGCAGTACAGTTAACTGGTTGATTGCAAATGTATTAAGTACCATTTCCTTCATGTGGCAAGTCAGTGCTGGGTTACTTACTATTAGCTAGTTGTGCAGTGAATTCTGTACAGTGGTATTGGTTCTTGTCTTACCTGTCTAAGGGTTTTTTATAAAAGCAGTGTTCCCTCTAAGTCCAAATAGAAGGAAGGTTGCTACCACACCAAACACGCGAGGCAAAAGGTGATACATTCTCTAATGCTGCGGCTTGTAACGCCAGGCATCCTAGCATTGCATTTCGCCGAGTGCCCGGAGAAGCAGACGGTAATCCTCCTGCTAGAAAACACAATAGCCGATGAGTTGATATTTATCTCGTTCTTCCAGAGCTAACGCAGAATCGTTCTCGCTTTGATGAACCCGGGACTGCCCGCGCAGCTCCCATTCGCTCTAGCGGACACTAGCCTTGTACTGTTCCTACAGCCGGAAGCTGCTATGGACCGATCTTGTACAGCGTAGAAAGTCCAGCCTATGGGAAGTGCCAAATTTGAAAAGAAATCCTAGCCGTGCTGTTTCCATTTGTATATATTTACTGTACAAAAACCTGACCGGATGTGGCAAACTTTAGCCTAGGATTCGTGCATCACAGTAGGGGTTTTTCGGTTTGTTTTGGGCTTTTATGTTGAGTAACCAAATCACGTCTGTGCTTTAGCTTCGTATCTGTTTAGGATCTAAAAAGTTCTTGTTCTAAACCTGTTCAGCAATAGCTTGGCTGCTAATTTGAGAGGTCACTTGTAGAAAAAGCGGCATGTTACAGTTCAACCCCCCTGGGGCAAGTTCGTCAAACTGAAGAGGTTGCACGCGTACAGTGAGTTCCTCCCAACGCGGCGTTCGCTCGGTCATTCAGAGTTGCCCACACAAGAGGTCTGGGCTTGTTAACATCCCCCCTCGACTCCAGTGTAAGTCTGATTAGTGAGAAATCACGAGCCAACCTGGCTCTTTATATGGGAAACTGCCACTAGACATCAGAAACAGGGAGCAAATAAATTCAGGTGCAGATACATCTTGACACTGCAGCCACTGGAAATACATCAGCCATTCGGACATTTAGAGCAGGACTGAAAAGGCCCCGTGCCACTGACGCCAATGAAGAGTGAGGATGGCCCGTATTTTCAATTACCGAGAGAGAAGGGATGGAGTTAACCTAAAATGGAAAGGAAAAAATGATTGGTATTTGGGTCTCCGCTGCAAAATTCCTGGCTTGTTCAGTTCAGTGATGGGGCCAGTCCTCGCCCCACCTTCCCAGCTGTGCAGGGCCAGTGACTTTGCAGTGTTTCCTGAAGAGGGACTGCAAGAGCCGACACATCCAGATGGGCTCGAGCTTGCGTTTCTTGCTGTCGTGATAGAAAACTTTCTCCCTGGTTAAAATCGTCCATTGCCAACCTGGAACAGCTCTAGTCACGTGGCTTTTAACGTGGCCAGTTGCAGACTCTTCTTTCTTGTTGAGTCCCAGAGAAGAGGGGCTGGAAGGGACCTCCAGAAGTCCCCTACCTGAGGCAGAATCAGCCCTGTCCAAACCCTCCCTTGCACGCATTGTTGGCACAGCTTACACGGGTGAATGCAGTAGTTGAAACTCCCGATGCCATCTGACCTCATGACAAGCAGAGCTAAAGTGACTTCCCTCACTTCCTTTGTAGCAACCCCTCCCTCCCTCCTCGGTAACGTGGCTATTGAAACTGCAAATACACGCGTGAGCTAACAGCGACGCCTTGTCAAAAACGTTCCCCATCAACAACAAAAACGGAGCTACTTTGAATTCGTCCCATTCGGAACGGATTAAAATACGCCCACACAGCGAGCGCGGCATTTACCGCACCTGAAAGGCTCAGATTTACCTGCCAGTGTCGAGAATAGCAAAAAAAGCAATGTTTCACGTAATGTCTGCCAGCCTGAAAAAGGTCTCCGGGTTTAGGTTTAGTTGTTCTCGTCTCTGCCTGGAGATAACGTTGCACCCACGCGGGAGTCCCCCGCGCCCGAGGAGGTCGTGGCAACTCTTCAAGAACTCAGTCCCACTGCCAAGGTGTTCCTGTCCCAAACCCAGGAGTCAAGAGCGCGAGCCCGGGGATACTGCAGTGCTTCGAGCTAGGCGTCTCCCAGCGACCTGGTGCAGCGTAGTTCAAGGGGAAAGCATTGGAGAGATCCCTCCCATTAAGTAGACCAGGGGCATCTGACTCCCAGTACAACACACGCCGAAACCCATTACATGACCGTTGCGATTTTCTACCGAGTCAGTCTTGCCGAAAAAAGAAAAAAAAAAAAAAGTCAAAGGATTTTAATACAGGGTACAGTAGAACTGTAGCAATATTTTCCTTAGAGGGAACACTGATATTTTAGCAGCACAAAAGATACTTGTGTTAATATTTTAGCAAAATTATAATCAATTTACATGTTTAAATTGATTGTACGTGTGAGATAATGTTTGTTCAGTACACTGTATTTTTTCTAACTATATAACTGTTCCAGATTTTCCTTGTAACTGTAAAGAACTGAGTTCTGTCTGATTGCTAGACCTGTCCTGATCAGTGGTGTACATGTGCTAAGTATTACAAATATGAATGTAAGCACCTGAGGCCTACCTTGCATTTCTCTTCCCCTCCCCGCACCCACGTGGACCACGGACTGGATTTCCTCAGTCTCATTGTAACAGGAGCAAACACACGCGCACACACTTACACCCCAAGCGTGAGCGGTCTCGAGGGCAGCGAACGTGAAACACTGCTCTGAGAACGCAGCAAAAGCAACGAGATCGTAGCTTAATACCCGGTGGCACCAACGCCACGGTCCAGGCAGGGTTGCTGTCTTCAGGGCCACACGTTCTTTTTTTAGCGGCTTTAAGGTAACCATCACTATATTTCAATTTGATTTTTTTTAGAGGAGCCCTTCAGAAAATGGATGCTTTTCCCTTTTGGGGCATGGGAAGCGCAGCTGAATGCCACTTGTTTAGGATCGGGGGTGTGCAAGCCAGACGCAGCTTTAGAGGCTGTCGGGTTAGGATATAGGAGCACTCACCCGAAGGAAACCCTACTCTGCTCCCTTCCTGCGTGCTGGGAAGCAGGCCCTAAGGGTGAGTGTTTCCTTTAACAGCAAGCGAGCCCACGCTTTCCATGCTGGCCTGCCTTTGGCACTGGGGGAGCAGTGCGGGAGCATGGACAGCCACAGCAGGTGGCTAACATTTTCTAGGCAACAGCAATGAATGACAAGAGGCTGCAGGAGGCCGTTTCAGGCAGTTGGGAGAGGGAAAAGCATAATTAAGAATCTCACTGAAAGGTGCGAGACGCACCTGCCTTGGAAACAGCATTTACAAGTCTTAAAGACGTTTCCCAGCTCGTTCGCCGGAGCGCTGTTGGATGCTCCACTGTTTCACTGGGTTTTTAGCTGTAAAACACCTTCTGAATTAACCAGTACGCTGGAAGGTAGCATAAGACATCGGACCTCACACTAGCCAGTGATGATACGTGCCTGCCAACTGTATTAAATCCTATTCCCAAGCACTTTGCCAAGTCCCAAGGTGTCCCCTCTTGCCGTTCTAAGTGTCAATAGTAACAGTGCTGTTTATTAACTGTTGTTGTAGCACTTCTTACCTACCGGTGATTTGTCAGGTAGACTGATGTACACAGATATGGACTGTAATTAAAGATGTTCTTATGGGCTATGGTTAGAGAATTACTAGGTCCATCGGTGTATACCTGTAGTTTATTATTTGGGGTTCAAGTAGGACTTCCTCCATGCTCCTCACCTCCCGCCAGCACTTCCCCTCATGTATTCATGGCGAGTTCACCCCTGTATAATAGGGAGTACTGCTTTTCTTGTAACTATCTGGACCAAGTCTAAGCATGCCAGGATTTAGTTGTGAATTTGTGCCATGCCAGCTGCTACCCACCTGCTGTTCTTACAAGCTGTTTAATATATAGTGTAGGCTGCTCCCGTGAGATCTCCAAAGGCCCAGGAGATAATTCAGCAGACAGAGGGCAGGAGGATGGCGCTCTCAGACTAGTCTGCTGAAAGCTTCTGCCTCATGTTAGCACTAACTTTGGATGCAAGGAATACAGTATCTATACAAAAAAAAAAAAAAATATATATATATATATAAAAGAATCACAGACACCTTTCTGGACAAGCCAGCTTACAGAACTGAGCTTTACACAGATACTTGCACACTGAGGTTAACTAGCAAACAGTGTGCTTTTGCTTGTGCTTCATGTTACAAAGCCTGTTGGGTACCATGCGTCTTAGAAGCCACGTATTGGAAACCGTCTTGTCCAACCTTTTCAATTCTGCCCAGTAAGGAACATGTCAGGGTAGACTGTAGGTTAGTAAAGAAAGAAAAAAAGTTCCCTTTTTTTTTTCCCCTCCTTCTGTAACAAAATGCCTTTAAGCCTCATGCACGCTTTGGTCAGAACAGCCTCTCTGGTATTAGTGCCGCATCCAACCAGGAGCTGGCTTTTGCTTTTTTGTTTTTGCACAGATGCTTTCAGGTAAGCCCAGTCTCCCAGGCATGGGGTGGCACGCGCCCTTCTTCCCTGCAGCGCTATAGATTAGGCCACTTTAGAATAGCAAGTGTTAAGCGCGATCACGTCCACCTCTCCACCCACAAAAAGTTCAGGCTTGCAGTTTGCTGCAGGTGTGAGATGAACTTTATTAAACTGTAGTCATCACCTCCGCACCAGCCAAACCATTCATCACCAAGTCGTCGTTCCCTTGGAATCAGTTCTTTTTCTGTAGAAAGAACCTTACAGGACCCCGTGCTTCTTGGTCTTTTTTCTATAGCGTGTGTATATAGAGAAGCCTGCTAGCTCATTTCCATCATACGTTCATTCATGGTACTTTACTAGACAGCGTTTTTTGGAGCTACTTTTGTCCGAAACCTTCACACCTGAGGCTCAAACGTGGCCTTCGAATGCATTGACTTGAAACCCAAATTTAGCTGCCTGTGTTTTGTTGCAATATGAATTTAAACCTCAAATTCTTGAATAGTTTTTAAATATCAAACTGATACCAAATGTGGTTTGCAGATCTAGTTTTTTTTTGCAGATACCTCTCTTGACAAGCAGACCGCTTCAAAGAGTTGCAGTTGCCAGTAACCCTGTGTGCATTGTACAACAGAGTGGATTGTGTATGGAGCCAAGTGCAAATGTTTACAATTTTTGTATATATCTTTTCAGAGAACAACCTGTGACTCTGTATTTTCCGTGTCCGTGTACCGACTGCAACTTATTTTCAATAAAGATTTCAAAATGAACAGAAGTGGCCTGGAAAAAACAAAAATCAGTAATACTTTAATGAGGTGTGCACAAGGAACAATGAAATGGCATCATCAGGCTGGATAAAGTGGTCACTGCAAGGAAATTACAGCAGCACTTCAAGTTCTCAATTCACCAGGGGGAGCAAGTAACTCATGGAAGAAACTAACTGAAAGTAAAGGGAAGGGGTAGGAAGGATGCTCCTTCAAAAGCATATGCATTGCATCCCCTCGGAGCTTTACAAGCCAGAGAGTCAAGGGGAGAGAAAACTCTTTACATTGTAGATCAAGTGCTTACTATGGTACTACAGGCAGCAAGCCTCAGAACAGGTTATTAGCAGGTAAGTGCTTTCCTAGTAAGAGTACTTTAGTTGTGGTAGTGGCGCTGGTGTAGAAAGCTCAGCTCTATTTCAAGGGCAGCAGACTCAAAAGACAGGAACGGATATTTGAAAAGCACTACCATGTGCAATAGGCAGGCACGGTTCTTTGGGTAGATGCGGCATCTTTTATTAGACCAGCTAAATAGTTGGGGAAAAGTTCTTTTGCAAACTTTTGGACACAAACACCCTTCTTCAGGCTCTCCCAATGCTTAAAGAAGGGAGTTTGTGCCCAAAAGCTTGCAAAAGAACTTTTCCCCAACTATTTCATTGGTCCAATAAAAAAGATCACCACACCTACCCAAAGAACTGTGCCTGCCTGTGTCCTTAGACCAACGTGGCTACAACCAACAACCCTACCATGTGCAACGTACTCATGCTTATTAGACACAATCATGCAGCAGGATACAACCTTGGGGGGGGGGAAATCAAATCACATTCTGCCCTCATTTCAGAGGATAGAGCCTACCCCCCATGACTAAGGATACAAGATCAGGTATTCAAAAATGGCCTAAGTACTCGGTAAGAAATAAACCCCAAAATCTTTGCAGTTTGGCGTCAAACAAAATCAATCAGAGAGGGGAAGGCAAGGAAAACAGATTTCTGCAGCGGGGATGAAGGCCTCGGGAATAGCACGAGCACAGATTCACGATGCTTATGGAAGAGTGGTGTTTTGTCACCAGAAACTACAGAAATGGCTTCCTAATTCCTACTCAAGGACAATTAGTGGTGGTCTGCCGTGAGTGGTACGGATGAGGCATTAGGAAGCTGCAGCTGGGAAAGTGCACCACAGGGGACATACTCCCTTCTCCATCAACTTGAAGCTACCGAAGGAGGAGGTGTTGCAAATGATTAACAGACCTCGTGTCTTCTAGAGCTGGAATTTATAGATGCCAAGGGCAGAAGCACAGCTACTTCAGATCATTGTCGCCAAAGGAGGTATAGAAAGTAAACACTCCATACAGCTCTCAACAACTAATCCTCTTTAGTGCAGACCACTGTAAACAGATAAATGCACTTAAAGGCACTGCAGAATAACAACATGGTCAGTGAGCAGCAGCATTTAATGTTCCAATATACCATTTGCTTTGAGCTAATACCATTAACACATCCAAGAAATTAGAAACAGGGCAGTCGTTAAATAAAAGGAGGGTGAATGAGCTGTGCTTTACGGAGAATAAAGCCTTGAACACTATTAGTCTACATGCAGCCCTACAAAAGTCAGTTTCTATAAACGAAAACGGTTACATAAAAGGTCGGAGGCAACTTCAAATCTCACGTTCAATTAATCACACAGAGATCAGTCCGATTCAAGTAGTATAATTATCTCGGTGTTCAGACAGGAGCACTTCTTTGCTAGATAAACAGCCGGATGATTACGACGGACATTTGTAATGGTCTGACACACCAGTGAGCAGCTCCTATTGCCCTCCTCTACTTTGCACCTAGCTCCCTCAATCTTTGTGGTCACAGCACCAGCCTGTAACCGCAGACCAGAATATTAAAAAGAAAAAAGAAAAAACAAAAATCTTTTGCAGCCCTTTGCACTGGTTTCTACCACCAGAAAGCAGACATCTCCCCCCTCCCCCCTTTAAAAGAACAGACTCATTTCTGTATTGGGCTTGCTCTGCTAACATCCAAATCAAACGGTTTCCTCAGCTGCAGCATCTTGCAAGGTGAAAGGTGACCAACCTGCCTGAGGAGCCTGCTGTTTCAGCCTCTTCCCAGTCGGGCGTTTCTGGGAAGCTAACCTCTCGGATGTTCTTTAGGTCGTGCTGCAGCCCGGCGGTCCCTCGACAGCACCGCACCGAGCCTTCTAATGGTAACCTACGACTACTCCACTGGCACTGGCAGTCAGCTGCACTACGTGTCAACCCCTGCTCCAGAAAGTGCACATATACAATCGAGACGGTTTTATTGGTCTTGGGGAGAGCTAGCTGATGATTCTGCTGATTGCCTGTAAGGACGGGAACTCCTCGTCCTCGAGGTGCAGAGCTTTGTGGGTGGCGAGGTCCTGGTGCGTCAGCACCTGCTTACACGTGGGGCAGATGCAGCAGTCCAGGTCGGCGCCGGGGTCGGTTTCCCAGGCGTTCTTTTTGTTCTTCCTGGGTTTGTTGGAACCTTGTTTCTCCTGGACTTTGAAGTCGTTGTGAGCAGAAAGCAGTTCCTGTTGCTTAGCCGTGTCCGGCAACAGCACCAGCAACTCGTTAAAGATTCTCCTGAAGTTGTCCCCGAGCAGGTCTCGGCAGCTCTTGTAATACTGCGCTGCGGACATCAGACCCTTTGGTTCAAAGAGAATCGCCACGATTAGCAAAGAGAGAAAGATGCTACCGGCAGACGGTGCTGCCCACCCTCTGCATGGGGTGCTGCCTCCACGCTAAGTGCCCAGCTGCGGGAAGTTGTGCTCCAAAGATCCCTCTCCAACTTACCTGCCTGAATTGCCCAGAGTGAGTCTTGAATTTGTTAAATCTGGACTCGTCGCTCTGAAGGAATTCCTTTATAGACTGGATCAGCTGGATGTTTCTTTGCTGAAAATGTTCAGGTATCAAGTAAGTTCCTTGCGAGGGGGTTGGCCTGCGTTTGGAAAGAAATTGCATTAATCTTAGTGCTCCGGTGCTCGACAAGGCACTGCAAAACATCAACGCTGGTCCCAGCTTTCCTGGCCCTCCTCTTCCCAGGGGTGGCTCCCCTCTCCACCCAGGGACTCCTGTGAGCACTGCAGATCCAACTCTGACATGCCAGAACACTGTCCCCAAGGGTCAGGGGGTCTGTGCCCATTCTTCCTGGGCAGAGAGAACACCGCACCTGCAAAATGCAGCTATTCTTCACTTGAACTGGCCTGATCTGCAATTATTTCTTCCTGAGGGGTGGCTCCTAACACACATGTGCCACAAAGACTGTTGCCACAATCAGAAAAGGTTGCTTTTTCACAGCAGGACCACACACAGGAGATAGCTGCCTCGATGCAAAATCCCAATACAGACGTCTCACGTTAGCTAGATCAAGTTTAAAGCATTTGCCCTCCCCGCCCCGTACAGGCACGACCAAAGCAGCCAACCACAGTATGTGAAGGGCGATGTTCCTTTATAAGTTCCCACCACGAACAAGTGTCCATCTGTAGGCTCACGCGGTGTTTCTCTGTGATCTAGGCGACCTCCTAATAAGACAGCAGCACCTTGTTGCTGCAAGTATGGAGGTAAAATGCAAGACTCAGGTCCTTTCTTCAGCAGTGCCGAGTCTGACAAGCCAGGAACTGAAGCAGGATGGAAAGAGGGCTCTGGACTGCTCCAACCCAACTCCTGCCTGGGGCGCACTGGCACAGCATAGCAGCACCAGCTGGAGAGCCCACAACTGCCAACATGTTTTTCGAACGCAAGGAGGTGTTTAAGCCCTAATGGTACAGGGATCGCCTCCCTCCTGTGAGTTTCCAAGTGCTGTTCCAACCCAGAGGAGGACTCTCTCCTCTCGTAGGAGACATGGAATCACTGGCAAAGCTGTAAAAACATCATGCTAGAGAGATTGAGGAGCAAATTTAGGGATGAATATAAGAAAGCCTGAGTTGGTTCTGCCTGGAATGGATGTCGCGTACATTTACCCTCCAATGAAGACTCGGGGTACTTCAGCCTTCCCCATCTCTCCTGGACTGGGCCAGCAGATGCTAAGGGAAAATCTGCAGAAATCTGGATCTGGCCCTTATCTCGCAGAATCTGCCTTTGAAATCTTACCTGTTCAGAAAAATCCCCTCAAATAAAGCAAGAAATGCAAAGAGGCCCTACAGTGCAGAACCTGCATACCCACTGCATGCAAGCTGATGCCCACGATCCAAGTACCCTTACTTACTCTTTCAGAGATGTAGTGACAGGTTCAGAGACGTTGGTGGATGGAATAACAGGAAACCCCGGAGGTGGTTTACTAACAGACACCGACAGCCCTGGAGGCGGACTCTTTAATAGCACCACGGAGTTAAAGCCTGGATTAAAATAGCACAGACCACGCAGGTTAGATCTTATATCCACAGCAACACAAAGCGTCTGAGATTAACAGTGACTGCGTGTCACTGAGCATGAGGCTCAGACAGCCGAACAGACCCTGCCGGACCTGAAGACAAAGGTACACCTGAATCTCTTGCTCTGCAGGTCACCAATGCTAGCTGGAGGAAGAAGGATGCACACCGACTGGCTTTCAAGTATGAAATGAAAGTGGTATCAAACAGACCCGTTTGCTGCTGGGTACAGGAAGTGGTGACATCCCTCAGGCTGCCCCGGTGAAAACCAGTGTTACAATAAGAGTCCACGGCAGCCCCTGAAAGGTCAGTTCTGCACTCTCGCTGCACGGCACAGTGGGAAGGGCCCCACAAGCTGCCACCTGCTGTTATCCAAACAGCAGCAAGGAACAGAAAGGCTACGCTACCAACTGCCCCGGGTCGCTGCTTTCATGAGAGGCAACTGCAGCACTGGATCCACAAGCTGCACCGCACTTGACAGAGCAACCTCCCCTGAACGCAAGGCCATCGCGTGCCTGTGAGTCTAGAGCAAACCGGCGGCAACAACCTCTTTGCTGTTTATGTTGTCCAAGTGGTGGGTCACAGGTAACTGTCCCTGCAAACAGGGTTCCCAAACTAGCTAGTGGAATAATGAAGCATACTGGTACACCGCATCAGACCCAGAGAAGCAGGAATATTTAGGGCCTGGCTGCTCATCTGTAACTCAGCCCCAAACTGAGAGCAGTAGCCCTGCTCTCAGAGAGGCACCTTCATTTCAATGGGATCTGAATGGGGCAGCAGCACCAGGAGGGGAGAGCTTCAAGCTGATCACTGTGGTTCGCACTCTGCATGTTTCTACTGTACACCCTCACCCCGAGTCCTGGAAATTGCTCCCATTCCAAGAGGGGCTTTGGTAGCTACTAGGAACTGCCCTGAATCTCCTGCAGGTTTCTCTAAGCGGCCCCCACAACCGGTTTTTGCCATGATTACCTGGCGGTGGCATCCTAGCTGGTCCTGAGCTCCCGAGAGCTGGGAAGTCTTCCTGAGGTAAAGGGCACTGGTTAGTTGCTGCAGGCTTTTTAAGGCCAGGGGGCTCTTTGGGTGTATTACAAACTGCTACCGATTTCTCTGAGTGACCATTCATGACTGCCGCAGATCGGTCTGGGGCCTGAACATTTGCAAGGGCATTTGGCATCTGTTTGGCTTCTACCACCTTCTCCAAAGATCCAGGTGGGGAGTTTTCCTCCGACGCGGGCGGGGAGGGTGGCCTTTGCTTCTCCACCCCCACCTTCTTTTTCTTGCCCACTTTCGTAAAAGTCTGTGAGGTAGAAGCTGCCAGCAAGGAGGACACATCAACCATTGTTGGTGCGTTTCGGATCTTCTGGGTTGTCAAGCCATTGCCGGCATCTTCATCATCCGACTGAGGAGATTTATTGCTCTTCTTGCCTCCTTTACTGCTGTTGGGGGGAGCTGCTTTTTTGGCTAGCTGGTTTGAACTGGAGCTGCTAGAACCGATGGCTTTAACCACATTTTTATTAGAACCATTGTTCCATGCAGACGTGATGTTCGATACGGTTTTATTGGTAGGTTTGACTTTAGACACTAGCGCTGGGAAGTCCTCCTCCTGGAAGGCTGTTTTCTTTGCAGTAACTGTGTATGTCAGAGACAGCCCAGTCGAGACCGTGGGTGCTGCTGAAGAGGACAGGCTCGGGAAGTCTTCTTCCTTCAGCTTAACAGACACCGGCTGAGCAGCGCTGCAACTACCGAAGACACAAAATATGGTAAGTCACAAAGCTACTGCAGGGACAGCACAAATGCACCAGGCTCAAAGAACCCAAGTATCCAACTGCAATTTCTTTCAACTCTCACTTTAAAAAGATGTGCGTTAATCTTCCAGACAGTCTTAACATGTGCTTATCACCAAGGTCTGACTGAATAAAATCTTTCCTCGAAGATGTCAGGCTAGATTAAAAGTACCATTTCATGATCTCTGGCCCAACCTGCCTTCAAACCCTCACACTCCACATCAGTACTGCAGACATGGCTTTACAGTGCTCCAGTGGCTACCTGAGGAAGCACAGCTGACTTCATGGGAAGATGCACATTTGTGCTCTCACAGTACAAGGTAACTATCTGCTTGAGCTGAACCACAGGACAACAGCAGGGGAAGGCACGGTCCAAGAGGCTGGAATGAGGGATTAGGAGGGGGTACTTGAATCTAGCCAGTACGGGAAGTGACATCGTATCAAGCAGTAACGCTGAGGCCACGTGGGGCTCGTACAGCCAGAGTTTGTGGGAGAAAAGGGCAATTTTCTTAAATAATTTGCAGTTCAAATCATCTGTGAAACAGCTACCTGGAAAGTCTGGGACCCAAGTGAGCTAATGAAATGGCCTTCATGTTGCTATAATTTTTACTCAAGCTTACCCTTGAAGGGATCCCACTGCCGAGCCAATTGCTGGAAAGTTATCTTGGCTTAAAGGACCATTAGCAGCTGCTTCTTTTGGAACTTAAATGAAAAAAAAAAAAAGACGAAAGAAAGGCTTTTAACCCAAATCCATTCGTTTCAGTCCTGAAACTCTTGTCATGTCACGACTGCATTAGCAGGTTCCGGTTCTAGTAGCTGGTGATGCTGTTAACCAGGGTGTTCCGATCCAACGAAACAAGCAGGCAATTAAGAAATGCACAGCTGCCTCCCACCCCCCTCATCCACATGCAGCTAACTGTATGCACTGTTAGCTCGCCTGGCCCTGGGTGTAACAAGTTAACTATAGTTAGGAAAAACATCAATGGCACTTTATTCCAGACTTCAAAAATAATCAAATAGAGATACTAATCCCATGGAGGTTATTCAGTGTTTTATGATTTGGCATCCCTGGAACACCGACAGTAGGAACAAGTAATATTCCACCAGGTGCAGCAACACCCTTTTCTCAAGGCCTTTCTTTTCATCCCATCCCTTCTGCTCATTTTTATAATATGAAGAAGATTTAAATTCACCTCACAGGAAACCTTTATACTCAGGGCAGAGGATGAAAGCAACACAGCAACGTTTGTATGTTATGTTTAAATCCGTAGCCGAGCCGAGGAGGACTCTGTTGCAGCAGTGGTCTGCACACCACAGCGGGAGACTGCAGGCACTTTCATTTAATTATATGTGTGACGTGCTGTGCAGCCTCATTATGTTAGCTGTGACTCTGTATGTCTAGCCAAAACCATTTTAGGAAACCTAGCGCATTCCTATACTTTCCAAGGGAGGACAACACTGGTGAAAATGTCTCCAGACAGGATCCTTAATATCCAAAAGCTTCCTTCAATGCCTACTGTAGAGTATTTACACCCTAGCAAGACTGGGCCCACATCTGCTGTCAGCCCCTGCAGCTCACAGCACGAACACACACACAACTAACCCGTAGCTTCAGATGAAGGCTTTGGCACTCGCTTCGCATTGGAAGTTTCTGCATCTCTCAATTCCTCCTTTTTCCCTCGACTGCTGTCTTCTTTCTCCTCTACCCGCTTCTTTTCCTCTTGTCGCTTTGCTGCTATGGATGCCCTGACTGCTGCTGCAATGTCTCGGTCTTCCTCCTCCCTAGAGAGACAGGACAGATTGTCTTATCAAACAGAAGGACTGTTAAGTGTCTTTGTCTCCAACTCACGTCCCTTCACATTTTGCAAACAACCTTTTGTTATGTTGCCACCTCCTGGAGATGGCTCAAACTGGAACTCTCTGACTTCACCTTATATCACGTCCCAGTTCAGTTTGTGGTAGAACAGGCAACATTCGTCCACTGGTTCTTTTAAGATCTACACCCAGTGCTAACATCTAAGTAACCGAGGTGGGCTAGGAATGACAATAATCAGGGATGCATGGGAACAACAATCTCTTCCATTCATTTTCAGGGTATGAAAATCTCATTGGTGGGTCCAAGTAACTCATTGTAAAATGGTTTGTCATGAACTTTCAACACATGCAAGAGCCACATGCGACACACCAACATACATAGTGTTTGGAGATGGATTTTCCCCAGTGAAAATACCAAAAATGAACGCACCGTTGACTGCCCAGCAAGAAAAGAAGGAATAGAGATGCGCAATATGCATAAAGCACTTAAATCTTGTGTGGATGAAGAGACATATAAATGAAAAAGTTTCATTTCAATACTTAACCCTCTCCTTTTTCCAAAGCACTCAGTCTGGCCACCCAGAGATCTGTTAGTTCAATGAAAAGCATGGTCCTTAGAACAGGAATTGAATGATATTCTAGACCAAAAAAGCCTGCTAAGCCTATAAAGCCCTCTTGAGTTACTGCAAAAAAATTCTAATACAGTAGTTAGGCATGAAAACAATCATCTGAAAACTAGACATTTCTAAATTATACTAGCCCACACACTGCAGAGCTCAGGAAATGTTAAGACTAATGTAGTCTCTGACAGGCTCAGAGCGCAGAAATTCAGAAACAATTATTTAGTTTGCATTCAGTGTTGTGCGATGCCCAGACAGTATAATGAAAGCTAGCAAGATCCTTAATTAAGGAGGTGGCACATTGCAACTGCCTTGCCTTGCACTTCCTCCATGCCTGCCCTCCCACCAAGAGAAGAAAACACTGCATGTGCAGCCAGCAGTTCTACAAATGGTATTACTTACCGCTTATACCTCCAGCTGCCTCTTCTGTTTTGCTGTCCTCCTCGGACTGATGTTCTAACTGGTCTTCCTTGTCTGTTATACCTTTCCACTCCTTCGTAGTCCTCTCCAGTTACAACACCTGAACAGGAGGCATGGCAGCATTCTCAAAGTTATTTTTTAATCCAGGCTCAGGGTAACACCCTCCTTCCCTACATGATTGAAAGAAGCTAGAATGTACCAGCACTTAAAGACCTTTCCTGACTTTCAATCAACTGCACGCCATAGATTAGATCATCTATACAGTAATTACTGAACTCAAGCACATTTGGTAGCATACAAATGCGCTGTGCTGCAGATCTGTGACGCATGTTTGGGATAATTTGATATGCAGAGATTTCCACACACACAAACCTTCTTCTGCTTGTGCATTAGTCACCACACTCTTAATACAGTACATACTGCTCTGAACATAAGCTCCATGCTTGCTGCTGCTTTAAACCCAGACTTCTACATACCACATAATTGTACAGTGGATCAAAGAGTCAGCCATGAAAATATCCACCAGTTTTTGAAATGGCAAATACCATGTTTCAGACCATGAATGGGCCATGTTTCTAGAAGTTTTTGGAGAATTAGCATATTTCTGCATGTCACCTTTTCTCCAGTCCAACTTACTTTCATTTCTCCGCTGGTGTCTGGGAGCGTAGTTAAACTGAAGATCTATCTGCCGGTTCTGCCTGGCCTCAGCTCTGTTTTTGCTGTGGCAGGCTGTTTTGTGAGCTTTGTAATCTATTTCTGTACGGAAAGCATGAGTGAACTGTTCTGTACTGCACCGTCCCTCCTCGCAAAGGAAATGTTTTTCACGGAAGTGTTCACGGAGGTATTCGTAATCACTGGAAGAAGAAAGAACAACTTGTTAGCTCTAGGGCGCACCAACGATTTATTTGTAAGCTGAAGTGATAACAATTTTTAACATCAAAATAGCAATTTAAATTGTATTCAATTCTCCGCCTATCCACACTCATAACATGACTTACGTTATGGCACTGAGAAGTTAAGCTAAATTCACTGTATGGTGCCTCGGTTAACATCATGTTTTGCCCTGCATAAAAAAAATCTTTTCCTTACAGTCAATTGTATTCACATCTTCTTCTCCTAAAACGTACCTTAGGCCATCAGGGCTAACTTATTACACAGCTGCAGAAATCTGCCACAGCCTTTCCTCCTGGCCTCAGAACTGCATTCCAGAATTTAATTGCTGTTAATGCTTTTTGACAGCCCAAACGCGGAGAAAACTAAGAATACGACTCAGCTGTAAGCTGACGCAGGAGGATCTGAGTCTGTAGAGACCGCAAAGCAATAGTTCCAAGATGACTGAACTGCCCTGCTCGTCCCAACACATTCATACTCAACCATTTATAATGATGGCAGCTCAGAAGTCCACAGCTGAAATAATGTATAGTGAAGTGATCAGCAGTAACATCCATCTAGCATGTTCATGCCACAGTCCTAAATCACCCATTACGCCTTCCTAAATCTCACAGGTCCACTTCCCAAATAGCCTGGACCCAGCTGCCAAAACTTTATGCTTCTCCCAACAATTAAATACTAATTCACTTAAAACCTGAAAGCAAAGGGGAGTTATTAAACATATGGATTTTAATACAGGCAGACAGTTTGTATTACATGCATACAGCACAGTCAGGTTCAAAAAGGGACTAGATAAACTCAAGGATGCTAGATCCTTTGATCCCAGCAGTCTTTCCTGCCCATGTGCAGGAGGGCTGGACCCAATGACCTGTAAGGTCCCTTCCAGCCCCTAACAACTATGGAACTCTCTCTCAATGGCCACTGAACAGAAAGGTTGGAGATGTTTCCTCTGGCATCTCTAACCCAATAAAATGGTGGATACCAGGGAGGGTGCTGAATAGGGTACAGATCGCTCTAGATAACTGGTTCAATGCTTCCCTTCTCTACAGCATACACTTTTGCCACTGCTGGAGACAGAATACTGGCCTAGATGGACCACTGGTCTGACCCAGTGTGGCACTGCTTATGTTTTTTCAGTAGTTGCTATTCTATTTCTTTTCCTGGTACTTAAAAACATCCCTTTACTTGAACAAAAATGTAGCAATTCAGAATTTCCTATTGGCCACACGGGACTCTGCAGTATCCAAAGGGACAGCTGCTTAGCACAGAATATTAGTCCAAACCCCCATGGTGCGGATGGGGCTGGGCTTATTACTGGCACCTAAGACACACAGATAGGGTTTCAGATAATTTTTAGAAGTTAGCAGATCAGTCTGCAGGGCAATGTCATAGCAGCTATACATGTCCTTTCCAGTAAAGCAAGCCTTTAATAGCTCAGCCCAGGAGAACAAAGGTGGACCTGTGAGTTCAAAGGTCCCATTCTCACTATAAATTCAAAAGTAAAGATTACAGCCAAGGTGCTCACACAGTTGCCCAACATCCATTTAGATATTCCTGTCTCACAAACTGATGGTAGATGCAACAAGCCTTCCATTTGAAGCCAAATACAGAGAAACCCAACTCAGCCAGTCCCACAAACCTGTAATATTCCTGAGCACCATCTGAGTCACAAAAATGGCAGAAATAGTGATCTCGTCTCAGGTGTTTCAATAATTCGTCGTTGTCCAAGTAACGCTCATCACAAAATTTACACAGGGGGTGCCCACGATGAGATGTGTCATCTGGGTCCCCGTGGATTCGATGTCGAGCCAGGTCCTTGCGAGAGTACCACTTACGTTCATACGTAAAGATCTTCAAGAAAAAATTACCTCAGGTCAGCAGTCATAGGCAAAACTTACTGCTGGAATAAATCAGGTTCTATCATGTCAGTGGACAAAATTACTCCCACTCGAGCCAGTAGAACACAAAGCAACCATATATATAGTCTACACCTGAATGATTCACTGAATCAGTTAGAAATCAAGTCCCCTATGCAAATTTAATCTAATTTATACTTTGTTCACTCTGAGCAATAAAAGCAGGATCATCCTTTTACTTCTGTTCCATATGGTAGCATGACGTAGCAAAGTATGGGCTATAAACTGTGAAAAAAAAAAATCTTATCATCATCATCATAAGAGGGTTGCATTTAGATTTAATATTCTGCATACCCGAGATTGAGAAAAACAAAATGAAATGAGCCAGTCTCCTACGCATTCAGCAGCATCCCCCATGTCACTATAGGAGGCCACACCTACGTAGAAGACATATGGCTCAGTGCACAATTGCTGCACTAGCCAGTACCCTGTCACTATTGATATGCAATTTATTTCTGCAGGAAGGGTTCTTGCAACACTAAAGATGCCAAGAAGATACAACAGGCACTGGTGCAATAAGCACTTGAACTTCATGGTTACAAAGCCATATATTCCACAAAAAGGGTAACGGCTACTCAAAATGCACATTGTCTAGACAAACAGTGTTAAAAGTTGTGAGGGGCAGAGGTTGCTTTGACTTCACTAATGTCAACAGATTAGACAACCAGATCTTAGTTCCACTGCGCAATGAAACTACCCTAATGGCACCAGCTACTGTAAATTAGTTCTCCCAAAATAAAGATGCATAGCTTCTTGAAAATGTAAAATGCTGTGCAACTGCTGTTGTCATTATTGTTGTTCTGGACAGATGACTACAGACTAATTCTTCCCAACGGCAGCTACCTACCCACGTGCTCTTGTCCAGTTTGATCTTTCTTATTCAGTTTCAGTGAAAGCAAGAAACAAGCCACCAACCTGCGCATACAGTGCTCAATGTCTTTTCATTTTCTGAAGACTTCCTTCACTCCACGCTAACCAGTACTGATGAGCATCAGAAGTTAGAGGAATCAAGTGGTAGCTGGCAATTTTAGCCAATTCTCAAACCACTAGAGATGGAGTGATTCTTTCTATTTTTTGAAAGCTGGAATTTAAGCTGGTATAAAGCACTGCCTTTTCAACGGCTGTTGTAATGGATTGTTAAAAGGGAATCCAGGCAGTAAACAAAGCTAGTGAGATCAGCAGTTTTAAGGCCCACTGTGACCTGCTCAAAATATCCAGCTTTCCAATGGAGTGCAATACTAGTTTTGGCAAGCTGCATGACAGACTTTAACGCAGTCACTAGTCACACTATATACGAGTAAGTTAAAGACAACATGTCCAAGCTTCAGGCAAGCACAGGTTTCATCCCCCATATCACCACCACCAATAATGCAAACCAGGAGAAGAGATCTGGCCGGGGCAGTCCTACAAAATAATGAATTAACACACTTTTTTTTTTTTTTTTTTTAAAGTGTTCCCACCCTATCCCCATGACCTACCTTCAAGTGTTAAACATTTCTGAGTTTGTTCGGATCTCTCAAAGAGAAATCTGAGGTTCTGTGATGCACCTTGTTAATCTGAATTTGCCCGAACACTGCGTGGAATTAGTTTTGTTTTGTTTTTTTTAATCACAGCAAAAATAGTGAGGAAAGTTCTATAAATGGCCACTCTCTACGGCTGGATTTTCTGCTGCGACTGCCAGCAGGAAGCTCAACACATGGTATTTATTCATACCAGAGCTATCTTCATAAAGTTATCTTAGGCTGGATGAGCTATAAATATTTTCATACTTAAAACAGAGCCCAGATGGGTAGCTTTTATTAACTAGTTTCTGAAAACTGATGGATAGAAGAGGCTGAAACTCACTCAGAAACAACAGGTGGATTGAAATAAATTGTACCTAGTCCCCATACCATTCTGTGTGGTATCCACCATCAAGTATCCTTCTTTCCAAGAAAGGTTCCCACATAATTAAGCCTCTTTTTTCTGAGTCTTAAATACATTTTTAGGGCTCACCTTCAGGTGTTTGACACACAATTTACAACAGAAGAGTTCATGTTGTTTTCTCATGTGCTGCTCCAGCTCCACAATGGTATTGAATGGCTGCACATGTGGACAGAGAGGGCATTCGTGCTGTAGTAGTTTCCTAAGGGACAAATAAATCAAAGGACAATTTATCCAGGTTATTTAAAATCTTTTGCCTAAAACCTTACATGTTAGATGGTGTTACATTAACGAGCAAAACATTTTATTAGTCTATTGCATAACACAATGCCACACAGTTATAGGTGCCACAGCAACTTTTAATATAAGGAGACTATAATTATGTTAATTCCAAAATTATCCTGGGCTACCTCAAGAGGAAACAAGAACTAAATTGCATGGAAGCATGAGTTTTAGAAGCAGAATTGTACAGATATCACTTCCAATACAATAATATCAGCATACAACCTAGGAATGGGCAGTAAATGACTGTGCAGCAAGTTCCCTGCAAAGTCAAATAACTTTGTTAGGCATGAATTAATACAATATTGCATCTATATTTTATTGTCCAGCACTGCCTTTGGGGAATTTAAAACACAATGGAGGTGAGGTGGAGGGGAAGAGTTCCTGTACTAGAAAAGGAAGCAAGTAAAATCCCACGTCCCCCAACAGGAACAGAAGGATCACTGGCCTGTCCACTTAGAGAGACCTTAATGAGTCGTGCCTAATGGAGAGACAATTCTACTCTACTCATGGAATTAAAAACCCTAGTGACAAATCATTTGGGTTTGAGCTTTCAAAAACACAACTTCTGCAGACACATCACTAAATACTTGCTCTGGGCAGTCACGGTTGGTAATCAATCAGAATGTGCTTCCTACTTATCCTGCTAGTGGCTAAGCATCAGTAACTTGGTTTTTCCTCATCTTTAGGTAGTGGAAACTCATTCATACAAAACTCCTTTTGTTCTGGAGAGCACCATCCCAGCATAAATGCAAAACTTTAATCCAATGTGCTATGTATTTTCCCTTCTAGGTCCATAGGCCAACAAACTGCAGCAGATACGAACCACGAGGCAATAGATGCATCACCATAGTTCTGTCCTTGGGCCAAACAAAGCAGAATATGTAGTGCTAGCCTCCAAATAAAGTACTGGATGCCCCATCTCATCTTGACTCCCTTAACTTTTCTTTCCATTCACCCGATCTACTTCTAATTAAATGCAGCCCAACAGTACCGCGAAGCATGACATTCACTGCCATTCCATTGCTCAGTGTTATACACACTTTCTCCACCCTGTCTCTCTCTTGTTTTTAGACTGTAAATAGCTGTTACTCTGCATTTGCATAGTGCCTAGCACAATGCAACCCAATTATTGGCTGATCTTTAGGGACTAAGTGCAGTGTGATTAAAAATAATAAAATATTTTCCCCCACTGTGACTCAGAAAACCCAACATCAGTAGCTGTGCTCATGGGAAGATGGAAAAGCAACTTTTAATGAGAGAGCAGAGTTTCTGCACAAAGCATCTGAAGACTGATGATTTTAGACTAAGGATGCATGTTTCCAGACCTCAGTCCTTATGCAGCCTTGTAGACTCCCAGACACACCAGCCTGATCTTCCCCGCGCTGCTCCCATTTCCCTTATTTCTGCACGGTACCAAGCACACAGCACATCAGCCATTTCAGATGGACAAAATGAAGTTGCATGTTTCCTACTGCACTCAAAGGGGACAAGAAGATGCTGCTGGAGAGATGCTTGGTTATGGCAGGAGCACTATGATTTACCTATAAAGCGCATACACTTTTCCATCAGCAAAATAAATGTCATATTTCTTCTCATGCTGCAGCTGGTTGAGTACTATTGTCGAGAAAGATGAAAGCTTCTTTCCAAAGACCACCTACAGACAACACAACAGAAAGGATTAGAGAAAGCACACCAACTTTATTTGAAGCTATGCTCATATATATCAGCAGTACAAGCTAAAAATCACTGTGAATACTGATAAGCATATAGTGAATTCTTAAACCGAAGTGATGCTCCTACCCTGCGTATTAATAGGAGGCAACACACAGAGTTTGCATACAAGACATCAGTGACATTACCTAGAATCTCATCAAGGAAATACAAGTTAGCAAGAGTCAATCATGAAGACACGCAAAGAGATTTTCAATGGATTAGTAAATTAAAATGCACCCTGAGTGCAGGTACTGTTTACAGAGAAACAAGCACACCGGTAATGATGCCTCTTCCCTCCTAAGCAACCAGGAACCTCAGAAACACAAATCAGCATTATCATTCATTCAAAAGCCAGAATCACCTGCATCGCCAGTTCAAAAACATTAACACAGATAACATCTAAGTGTTTCTCAGCTGACATTCTGAAAGTGAGAGAGGTAGTTAGCCATGTCTGTCTGTCATTCAAGAAATACCTTGCAACAACTCCTTAATAGCAGTTATTAAGTATTATCTGTGCCTGTAACACACTCCTGCTAATTCAGAAGTAATGAATCCTGCTGGCAGAATTCTCCTGAAGGAGTAAGAGAACCTGTGTGTGTTTTGTAATGATCTGAAGTCTTGATAGCATGATCCTTTTAAATCAACCAAAACGAGAGCAGAACACTGCATGGATGAAGTGATCTCTCAAACTTATTTTTTTTAAATGTAAAAGGTGTACAATAAGTTCATCAAAAGTCAAAGGTATTTTTTCATCCATTCAACAGTATCTGACCCTATTTAAATACAACTTAAAAAATAAGCTTTTAAATTCAGCCTGAAGTGAACTTTTACAGGTAAGTGATTCACTGCTGGCAGGCAGCACGTGTTACAGGAGAATCAAAACCACTGACTACAGCAGTTTGAAGAATGATATAACACGCCCACACACATTCACCTACGGCCTCGTCTCCAATCAAAGCATACATAGTGCATATTTTACAGGGCAATGCATGGCTGTTGGCTTCTTCTAAAGCTCATTCAACCAAAAATAAATCATTTCCAAGACAAACACCTGGAGGTGCACGTGACCAAAACAAATACATCTTGTTTTCCTGTTCCACTATACACCTCACTGCCATTTATCTTTAAGCCTACCTTTACCCATTAAGATAAGGTTGATAATCCCCGGCCATCACTTTAGCCGCTTCCACCTGCGCTATCCAGCATGTCGAGAGCTGAGATTCAGTAACGCCCTATTTTCCTCGTTGCCCCTCCTGATCACACGCAAACACTACACAGGCTAACAGACACAACCCAGCTAGAATGCCTGTACCTGTCTCCTGCTCATTCAAAGCCTTATTTTTTTGGCACAGCCCACATGTACTGGGTGATGTTTTTTGGACAGAACAGCATTACAGCAGGGCTGAAAGAGAGAGAAAAACTATAGCCAGAGATGATGTTCCAGGCAGTTACAATAAAGGGCTGATTTAATGCGAGAAAGAAGCCTAAGGAACCAAGGCTGAGCCCATGAAATATAGCCATTACTACAAAGCCAAAGAATGCTGAGGCTGAGCTGTTCCTATGACTAAGCCCAGCAGATCGAAGAACAAAAACATCAGTTTGCTCCTCCCTTAGACAACAGGCACTAAAACAGCAGCAGGAAACTGGATGCTCAGAAGTCCACAATGATAGGGCTCTCTCTCTGAGAATGCCCGAGTTACAAACAAGCCTTTTACACGCCAAATCAGTTCTCCTTCAACCACAGCGCACGATGCTTCAGCTCTGTGGCACGCTAGACTGTCTTTGGCCTGAGACAGTACACAGACAGGAACCCTAGCCAAGCAGCCTGTCAATGAGCCAGCCTGCTGACATGGCACTCAGAAGGTTCAGAAACACCGAGGAAAGGGGAACGACGGGGTGTGAGGGCATTAGGAGCGCTGCTATGAAGCGTTCGGACATCCAAACTGCACGGCTGCTGCATTCCAGAAGTAGGATGCAGACACGCTGCTCAAAGACCTTCCTTCTCACCGCAGCCTTGAAACGGACTGGGAGAACTATTCCAACGTGGAGGAGCTTCTGTGGAGCAAGACCAGTCTTTTATCTGCTTTCTGAAGCACCTGCCACCCCAAAAGTGTTACCACCTTCTCTCTCTAGGCTTCTTTGTAGGAGGATACTCTTCCTTCCACGGCCACATGTATTTAAAGTGTTATGTTCTGAAATAAAACTGTTTCAAAAAGATTAAATACGGCTTCTTACATCTCCTGTTACTTTAACTTCACGTTCTGTGAGACTACAACTAACTGAAGGTAGACAACTACTCTGTCTTAACCCACTCTCCCACTTCATGCCAGTAAGGCTTTTGGCTCTTATCCCAACATGCGGAGAAATCCAAATGCCTTTGATTCATTACATAATTCCCAAGTTGCTTTTCCTCAGCCCCCAGCTTGGTCGTCCTTCAGCATGAATCAGAAAGGGACATCAGAGCAAGGTCAACAACTGAACTGGAGTCCTTCGAGCCCAAGGCAGAGCAGCTGCAGAGATATGCATTAAACAAAAAAAATTCTCCATCGGCATTCTAGCAAAACCCCCCAACAGGAATTTAAATAAATTGGCAAGAGGCCTTCTCCATTATCCTCAACAAGTTTATGCAGTAGTGGCAAAAAACAAACAACAGATTCCTGGCCTCCACAAAATCTCAGTCTCTTATGTATGTGGCCAAAACCTTCATGTTGCCTAAATGATCAGAGTAAACTGTTTGCATTGGCGGTTTTTCAGTTACTTAGGAGGAGCTCTTCCTTTGCCAAGAAAAAAGGACTAGCTGCATTTCATTTCCTTGCATCCCTAACTCATTTTTAGGATACCATTTCAGGCATTCAATTCTGCTGCCGATTTGTATTCCTTAACAGGCTTGTCTCTCTCTGCAAACATTACAATAAAGACTGCCATTTTTTTCATGCAAATTTAACATTCTTGAAAGATCAGAAGTTCTGAAAACTAAGTATTAGCAGGAAGCACCAGTGCAAATTGTCTCTATTGCCCTCATCAATGTGCCGTACTTCTGACCTAGAAAACCTATTGCTCAGGATAAAGATGCCTATTAAGTCTCCATTTCTGGCATCTCTGCTAAGACAGCCAACATGGCAAGTATGGAATGTTTTTTTAGCGATGTGGACATTTATTATTGTGAACTCTTCAAGCTCATCTACACGAGTCACTGACTTCATTCAAACCACCCAACAAAAGCTGAAAGGTTACTTAGTTCCCTGTGCCTTTCCTTCCCTCAAGCTTATATATTTAATATTCCTGTTTCGCTGTTCACCCTGCGCCAGAGGGAAAGTACACTAATCCAATATGAGGTGCAGAGAGAAAGAGAGAGAACAGCAGGGGTCCAAGCAGAAGCCTGAACTGCCAAAAAGAAAAGGACGGAGAATGAGTGGCTGGAAAGAGAAAGCAGACAGCAAAAAAAACACAGACCCCGAGGCAACCAGGATGGAACCAAGCAGGCAGGCGAAAGCAGGGATGACAAGATCACGGTCGGCAGGGCCAACCGGACCCTATCGTGCATCCGCAGGTGCATCTCGAGCAGGGCCAAGGAGCTGATCCTCCCCCTCTACGCGACACTGGTCAGGCCGCAGCTGGAGTACTGCGTCCAGTTCTGGGCGCCGCACTTCAGGAGGGATGTGGCCAGCATGGAGAGGGGCCAGAGGAGGCCACCCGCATGATCCGGCGGCAGCAGGGCAGGCTCTACAATGAGAGGCTGCGGGACCTGAACCTGTTCAGCCTCCACAAGAGAAGACTGAGGGAGGACCTGGTGACCATCTATAAACTCACTAGGGGGGACCAGAAGGGTTTGGGGGAGACGCTGTTTCCCCTAGCGCCCCCGGGATAACAAGGAATAACGGCCACAAGTTGTTGGAGAGGAGGTTCAGATTAGACATCCGTAGAAACTACTTCACTGTCAGGGCGGCTAGGGTCTGGAACCGACTCCCAAGGGAAGTGGTGCTGGCTCCGACCCTGGGGGGCTTTAAGAAGCGGCTCGATGCCGACCTGGCCGGGGTCACTTGAGCCCAGTTTCCCTCCTGCCCAGGCAGGGGGTCGGCCCTGAAGAGCTACAAGGTCCCGTCCGACCCGACTCCTTCTATGAAGATTTGGGTATCCCCCAAATTTAAAAGTGTAGCAAGAATCCAACAGCCCGAAACGCACCCTTCCTCTTAATGCCAGAAAACGAGGCGGCTTGACTTAAAGGAAATTAAAATCAAAGGAAGGAAAAGAGCACACAGGTGATCCCCTTCACCCCCCGCCCCGGTCTCGGACACGGTTATCAGCGACATCTTCACACACATAAAAAAAACCATTTTCCAGGTGAAAAAAGGACGTTTCGGGCTCCCCGGGCCGGGCCGGGCCTCACCTGGGCCAGCTCGTCGCGGCATACGGCGCAGTAGCGCACCCCGCACAGCGCCCGCATCCGCACGGAGCAGCGGTAGCAGATGGGGTGGTCGCAGCGGCCCAGCGCCACCACCTCCAGCTCGCCGCAGCACAGCACGCACGGCCCGTCCGCCGCCGGG